ATGGGGGGATGTTCTGCCACCACCCCCCGAGGGACTGGGGAGCCCAGTAAAGCTCTGGGGACCCCAGCGAATGGAGAAGGAGGAAGAAGAGGAGAAGGAAGGTGACCACAGTCTGCAGGAACCTGGGGATCGCCTGCTCCATCATGGTCTGAAGTGAGACAGATCTGGCACAACGCCCTGGTGCGCCCGTCCCGGCGGGACAGGATTTGGCCTCCGGCCGCAGCCCCGGGTCCCTCCATTCATGGACATGGGGCAGGGGGGGACCCTACAAGGGGCTGGGGAGTCCCCGGACCCCCCTGGCCTGGTTTTATTTATAAATATCATCTTTTATTGGATGTGCCCCCCCCCTTTATAAATATACTTGTAAAGTAAGGACTGCTCCTCCATACCTGCATCTCTCTCTGGGGGGGTCACTCCCTTTTTTAAGGGAGATGCTTTGGTCCTGCTCCTTGAAGGCTGTCGTCTCCAAAAGCTCCTGGGGGATGGGGGTACAGGAGCAGGGGGCTGGGGCTGTGCCCCCCTACCCCCCCACCCCAAACATCTGTGTTTTTTTTACTCGCTGCTATTTTCAGACACGTGATCGCTCCCCCCGAAATGGAGACGCAATTATAGTAATTGTGGACGCGGCCCCTGGCTGAGGGGCTCCCCGCCGCCTCCTCGGGGTAATTACCGGCAATTTGGAGCTGTTGAAGATGTCTCCCTTTAATGGGGTGGGAGAGGGAGGGTGGGGGGATGCGGGGCAGGTTGGGGACCCCGGGGCGGGGCAAACCTGGGGTTTCTGCCCCACATCTCCCGCAGCCCCCGTCAATACCCGGCCCTGGGAGTGAGGGTGTTTGGGGAGCAGATTTGGCAGTGGGGATCCTCTCCCCTTTGTGCTTTTCCAAGGTCAGAACCCAGCTAGAAAATACATCATTGTGATTTCCCACTTTTCTACCAATCCTGCTCCGTGTTTGTCACCCACGACGGGGACAAGACCGGCGCTGGGGCTTTCCCCAGGAGGGATTTGTTGGTGCAGCGGGGCCGGAGTGAGGTTTGCTCCATCACACAAACATATCATGGTCCTGGCTCCAGATATTCCCACCTTACATTTTCCCTGCTCCAAGAGTCCCTTCCTGCTTTGGGGACCACGTTACCCATCCTAAGCAGCGAGGTCAGGGTGGGAGCGATGCCGTGATGCTGTGATGTCACAATGTCACAACGCTGTGCTGTTTGCTTTGCCCCCTTGGCACCACGTGGAGCCAGGGGCAGGTTGGGGACCCCGGGGCAGGTCAAACCTGTGGTTTTCCAAGATTTTTTCCAAGCACTTGGCTCCCACCTGAGGAGTTGGATTTTTAAGCCAGGAATCACTAACTGGGAGACAGGAAGGGCTGGAGATCTGGTGCTGAGCATGGAAATGGTGTGACCCAGGATGGAGACGCGTGGGGATCCCTGGGTCCTTGCCAGCAGCCGCAGTGGGTTTGATCCTCAGCTGAGAAGTTTGGGGTGCTGACAGTGACCCCGCTGGGACACAGGGGTGGCTGTCCCCAGCTGTGTCCCACGATGGCCACGGGCACATTGCAGTGATGGCACGTGCAGGATGTAGAACCCACAGGCTGGCTCAGCACCTTGGGGGACACCGTGACTGGGACCAACAGCCGTTCAGGGCCAAGACATGATGCGTGATGTCCCCTGTGCGGGTGGGTGGTGTCCACCAGTGGGATGAGTCTGGCAGAAGTGGGGGGGTCTGTGCAGGACTGGTGTTATTTTCCCCAAGTGATGGAGCCCGTCCTCCCCACCGAGGCTTTGGGAAGGTGGATGGATTTGCTTTGCAGCATTGGCAGAAAAGGGAATTTCTCATCCAAAGATCCAGGAAAAGCCCAGGGGGGATTTACCCCAGGCAGGGGCTTTGGGCTGGATGGGGCAGCTTTCCCCCAGGAATTACTCTTCAGCCATGGGAAGGGGCTGAACCACGGTGTGATCCCGGCTGCAAAGGGCTCTTGGCTGACTCAAGGTGTTGCCATCAAGGTGCTGAGCATCGTCCCAGCCCTGTACATTTGGGGTGACCTCCTGCCAAGGCGGCGGTGGGGTTGGAGGGGGCTCAGCGGCTTGGGCTGGATGGGGCAGCTTTCCCCCAGGAATTACTCTTCAGCCATGGGAAGGGGCTGAACCACGGTGTGATCCCGGCTGCAAAGGGCTCTTGGCTGACTCAAGGTGTTGCCATCAAGGTGCTGAGCATCGTCCCAGCCCTGTACATTTGGGGTGACCTCCTGCCAAGGCGGCGGTGGGGTTGGAGGGGGCTCAGCGGCTTGGCATGGCGTGCCCAGGAAGGGATGGATCTGTGGGGGTGAGGGAAGCAGGAGGCAGAGGCCGTGGCGCCCGTGCGGCTTTCCCGATGGATGTGCTGCCAAGGACCTGCAGCCAGAGCCGCTCGCAGGTCCCGTCTTGCAGCAGGAGGGAGGCAGCAGCCCTGGGCTCCCAGCGCCAGGATCTGGCCCGCCCAGCACTCACGGTGCAGCCAGGATGGCGACTTGGTGCCTGGACCCCACGGGTGGGGGACACCTTCACCCACGGCTCCCCCCCCCAACCCCGGACCCAAACACACATGGGAGAGCTGCGGTCCCTGGTGTGTGGGAGCAGATCCCAGTCAGGGCACCCTTGGGTGCAGGGAAATTCCTGGTCTCAGGAATTCCAGGTCTCCAGCCTCCTCTGCTGCCTGCCTGCGCTCGGGTCCTGCTCGGGATGCTCCTGTGGGATGGGGATGG